TAGCCTCTGACTCATCAGTTGCCGGTTGTGCAAGCTTACCACATTGTGGATAAAAGGATGAAAAATTAAAATAAAACTGACTGTAGCTATGTGATAACATGTTATCACTTATGTTATGACTTCTAAGACAACTAAACTACACATTGATTATCTTTAATGATGGTTAAAAGCTTACAATTCAAATAAATAGAGTTTTGTCCTCTTTATAGGTTTGAAGAAAAATATGTTTTAATTAAATTTACATGTAAGTCGATACTAAGTCTTATGGGTTTTAATAGACCAAAATGATATTAGAATCTAATAAGATGCTCCAATATTGTACATATTTAAAAATGCCTGCTAATCTGCACTGAAATGGTTTCTAACATTGTTACATAATGCAGAGATATATGGCAGAATCCTATTACTTCACATACCTTTATGCCAACTTCAAAGATTGTCTCCAACTGTGGCCGCAGGAACCTTGGAGATGATTCAGCCAGCTCAATGAGAACTTTAAGAGCGGAGTCATCATCAGTCTTTTCTATAGACTGTACCACTACCTAGTCACATATAACATCTTTAAAATATATACAAATACAAAATTAAATGTTAGTTATAAATAAAATGATTTGTATTGAGGGCTACTATCAAACTCAATCCTATTAACAGGAAAGTGTTAGCGAATCCTCAAAGTGGTATACTTTAGCACATCTTGGCAATAAACACTTTTCATATTGAAAAGTGCATGTAGGAGTTAATGTGCATATTTTATAAACATTTGTTTAACAAACCAAAACATGATGATGAAAGAGGATAAGCATTGATGGCAAATGTAATCATAACATTTATAGCCCCTTTCAAATTGCTTCTCTTACATAATATATGAAATATCTAGATTTATAAAGGTTCATACCATTACAGTAATTGTGAGATATCTTAGTGGTTCTTAACTTCATACATGTTGCTACACAGAAAATGAATTTAGGTGTAGTGGAACATAGATGATGGGCAGAGCACAGTATGCCTGTGGCCTTTGACTGCTAATATATTTGAGTAGATTGAACAATGATAATACTAACTTGCATAAGTGGCAGCAACAAGTCACTGAAGTGTTTTTGTATAGCAGATTCCTTGTCATGCAAGAGAATGAATGCCCCAACAGCTTTAACAGCCTGCATGCGCAGGGCTTCCGTTTCAGTTGGCTGGAGAGATGACAACAGCATTTGTTTGATAACATCTAAATTTTCATTTTGTCTGTTTCCAAACACTCCAGGCACTGACCTGTTAAAAAAATGGTATTAGTGAATTTCCTACAATGTACATAGGAAACTAATCAAATTTCATTAACATATTGGTATCATTGTACAAGTGGTTTTAACCTCTAAACTTACGTGAACATCCTTATCCCGGCCTCTTTAATGTCAGGATTTTGTGAACTGGCGCAGTGGAACATGAATTGTAGGAACTCAGGCCATTGGTTGACTCCATCATCATCTATATGATTTCTGGCAAGCTCAGATACTACATCACAGATCTAAAACACAAAAATATGCTCTTAGTCATATCTACTTGGGGATCATGAGTCATAATGTCTATTAACAAGTGTGGGATTTTTTATCATCCTTACTATACTGAATGGAGCAGTATTTGCATGAGTTTGAAAGTTAAATTTTATATGTAAAATTAATTAGTAATTATATAATGAATACACATATTGCTAGTTAAGATAGAAAATTATATAATTTAACTGAAATGATGAAAATGCTTTACCTTCCTTCGTAACTGCTGACTAACATTCATTTGAAGTGTAATAAGCAACTGTTCCCTAAGCATTGTCTGTTGATCAAAAGGTAACTTAGGGAAAAATTCAAAGAATTCCGCACTGAGCAATCGTCGCAGCAGCACAGCTGCTGTTTGCCTTGATTCTTCACCGATGTCTCCATTCTGAATGGCTCCCACTAGATGTACCACCTTTGTCTCTGTTGGTATGTTGTTGTAAGCATCCTAAACAACAAAAAAAGCAGTATATCTAAATACACTTTATTGTTGAAATGAAAACCTTTTTGGTATTAAATGTAATATAACTGAAACTATTAGCTTCATAGATGATCATATATATGTCATAGTGTACTACTTATAACTAACAAAAAATTCTAACAACTTTTAATATTTCCACTAAAAATTAAACATACTAATTTTTCGTAATTAAAAACAATTAAATTGACTTGAAAAAAATTAAAATAGTATGGCATATCAATTAAATATACATAGCTCAATCAATTTCTCGAACTTCATTTAGACTTATTAAAACGTGTAAGGGAATACCCACATGCCTAAATGTAAGTTTTCTTATGCTAGTATTTTAAGAAAAGTGCATCATCAGCTTGTTACGTTTAAATGTATTATATTAGCTTGAGCTATCAAAATTCAAAGCTATAAATTGTTCTAACATCGTTATAAAATAATAGTCCTCCATGACCACGTTCCGACACGAGGCTATAACGCCTAGTTTTTACAGTTAATACGTAATTATACAGTAACATTTGTGTAAAGTATTGAAGAAAATCATAAAAATGAACAAATACTCACTTCTGCGTGCTGTCGGATATCATTATCTGTAGACAATAATGTATTTAATAATTGGTAAAACTGCGCCTGATCTCCTGCCATGTTGAACCTCTTCAAAAAGGCCCAATTTTTTTTCATAAAATTTAATGCGGCTGCTCACTGTTCCATTGTGTTGCCAGTGTTATTTCAAATGCCCTATGCAAATAACACGGATTGATCAAAAATAGTAATGTTATTATTTACTGCTAATCAATATTCGTGAAACCGTAATATTTACTTACAAAATCATCAATAAAACGTTATCGAATACCAACTAATTTACATCTCAACAAGTTAATTTTATTTTTGAAAATTGGTATGAAAACTCCAATGTGACAACTCCTTATAGAATCGGTAGAGTTTGTTTCGCGTCGATTGGAGGTAAAATTGAACAATTAAGTTATTTAAAATTATTTTTAAACTACCCAGATAAAAGAAATAATTTCCTCCAAAAAATGTTTGTGATTTTAAAAATGCAGGTAGTATTTTTTAATTGTGTACTGTCGCTTATTGACTCTAAAATGGTAATTAAATAATTAAACTACTTCACAAAAATCTCCAAGAATTGTAATGCACATTTCATTTAATTGCGGAACTTTTCTACATTTAATTTACTGTGCAGTAACGAATTGCGTCTTTGCTTTTGTTGTGACATCTGATCTGAGTCTGACACATTGTGTCAAGAATTAAAGATGTTAAACTTTCATTACATTTTATTTGACTGAAATTTTCGAGTTTACGTCTGAATTTCTAGAAATAATCCCGACGCAAACAGTTGTTAAAATGGTATGGAAAAGCTATGAGTTGTTTGGTGACATTCTTCGGCTTTACAGCAATAAGGTTATATTTTCGATATGTTTTACAGGCTAGTACAATAATTGTGGCTGGAATAGGTATGGCAGCCGTTGGTTTTGCCGGAAGGTATCTCTTGAAACAAATGCCTAATGCTTCCATGAAATTTGCCGAAGCTGTTAAAAATTTGCCAAAATTTGATACGGAAAGTTTAGCAAATTCTAAGTACTATAAAGGTGGCTTCGAACCTAAAATGACCAAAAGAGAAGCAGCTCTCATATTAGGAATTAGTCCAACAGCTAGTAGAGCAAAGGTGGGTCTAAATTTAAATAACAATAGAATTTTTTTAACAATGATGTGAACTCCGTCATGAAACATGTTTACATTTCTTAAATCCTTTTTTGATTCTATCACTATCAATGGTCACAAAAGCCACTGCTTCTTGTGGTATCGTGATGTTCTAATTTATTTTTACTATCATGAGATGGAGTATAGTAATTACATACTAAGATTTGTATTCAAAATGTATTTTTTAATGTTGATTTTCATTTCTAGATCAGAGATGCCCACAGAAGAGTAATGTTATTAAATCATCCAGACCGAGGTGGTTCACCATTGATAGCAGCTAAAATCAATGAAGCAAAAGATGTTCTAGAAAGTGGTAAATCGTAAGCTTCAGTGAAAATGTTTAGGTTTTAGATCAAATTATAGAAAACAATATATTAAGTATACAAAAATGTTAAATATAGTAAATAAAACAATGTTTCAACTTTAATATTCTATTTTTCACTTCGAAATTAGAAGCATTTTCCAATACATGAAATACACACTAACACATTTTTAAACCAAAGCCGTGTAACAGCTAATATCATAGTATATTTAAAACCAATTGTTATGTAGCCTTTTTTCTAATTCAACACTCTATAATTTTATCTATTACAACATCAATGAAATCTCTCAATTTCTTTTCTAAATTTATATACTTTATATGTAATAATTTGATGTTGTTGCATCATCTTAAGGATAGTTCATGTTATATATAGGACTTTGATTTCATTTCAAAGGAATAAAAAAAAATATTTGGCTCAAATACAATAATTGTGTCATTCTTATTACAAAACATCTTTATCTCAAAAAATACCTACAAATAACTAAGCAAGAACCATAGCAATTGTATTTCTTGTTACTTTACTCACCCCCAAATCATGCAATTGAATTAAAAGGGATGTACAATATGCCTTTTTTTTCCTTTCTAATCATAATAAAATGTAAAAGATTAAAAGAAAAAAATGGATAGTTTATTACAAAATCATTTATCATCCTAAATTACAATCAGTGGAAAATGTTGAATTCCCCAAAATAAATACCTAATTATCTTACCTAACATAACTTGTAAATGATATGCAACATTATATTATAACAAAAAACATATTAAAATTCATACTTTCAATAATAAAAGTTTTCAATAAGTGTCAACATAAATATATATTAATAGATGTACAAAAGGCGCTTAGACTAGCAGAATTTGTACAAATTAAAATGTAAACAAACAACTATAAGATGATCGGTGTACTTCTTTATGTTGTCTATTAGCACATGCAATTAGAAATTGCTGTAAAGGGTTTTTATGCCTTGTATTTAAAACTGAAATATATTTGAACACTAATATTCTTTGTCCAATGTAAGAATTCTAGGCGGCTGTATTAACAGCTAACTTCTATGGCAAAATTATGAAAATAACACACCATTCATGATTAAAAGCAATATCAATAATACCTTCAAATAAATATAATATCAGGTATTATAGGCTTAAAAGCATGATTTCATTTTAAATCATCTCTAATTATTTCTTGATCATTACAATATAGAGATAGACTAAGCTACAAACACTTTTAATTATTTAAACAAGAGTAAAAAGATGTTAAAGCTATGTAAGTAGTCGTTAGTCGCATACTTTAAATTTGGTAATCTTTTGAATATAGTGAGATCAAAAGTTCCTTGTTCTTATTGTGTTGTTCACCGAGGCGGCTCCTTTTGTTGTTGTTCCCGACGCTGCTTCGCAAATCGTGCTCTCAACTTTATTATTGTCGTATTAGACAATGTTCCGGGCACTTTGAATATAGACTGTAAATAAAAAAATATTTGTTTTTGAAATAGTACAAACATAGACAAAAATCCAATTTTTGCACAACATTAATCTTTTATTACACTATAATAAACCGCGTTTTTATTAGCTTTTACCCACGATAATTAATATAGCCTATGTTTTTTTCTAGACTTTGACATCTCTACCAAATTTAAAATGATATGGTAATAAACATCCATCTATCCTTCCAAATCGTTTTTTTTTTCTCATGTTAAGAAGTAAGAGTAGAGTTCAAAAATTTGAATATCGAGAGTAATAAATAAAACTGTATTAAACATAGACTAACCTGCATAAACTCATGACAATGCAAAGCACTTGCATTTTTCACTATAGCCTTGAAGCATTCCGCTAGTGAAGTAAAGTCATTGCATGATAAAATTAAAGCACGATTATTTTTAATTAATGTTATACACACTCTAAAAAGAATTTTAGAGCCCTCGTAAAACAGGCAATCCCAAATCCGTAGAACTGTTTCTATCGGTAATACTTCAGCGAATAGACAGACAAACCATTTTGTTGTTATAACTGCCCATGGTAATCCTAAAAAAAAAATATTCAGATAGGAATTGCATTTTTTTAACTTCCTGTTTTTATCTTAGCATTAATTATTTATTCCGAAAGGAACCACACCTGTAAAGATTAGATATAAAAACATGTCTATCTATAAAAAAATCAGTACATACCCAAATTTATCACATGTTGATGTACATCAGGGGCTTTAGATTTGACAAGTTCTGATAATACTTCAATGTCAACTATTAGACCGTCCATAGTTTTGGTGTAATAGTCAGGCAGAATCTTTTCCACTAGTACTTTCAGTAACCAAAATGATGTTTCTTCACTCTTAGTGGCCAATAGTAGTAAACCTACAATTCATAAGACATAATAATTTTTATGTCTAAAATTGTTATAACCATTTTATTACATAACAATATTTTTTTTTAGGTATGTTGTAAATTACCAGCTATATAGTTGAGTCCTTGACAATAACCAACAACCCTGTTGTTGTGTGCGTAAGCAATAAGGACATTGAATAAATGTGTCTGATGATTGGCTTCTTTGGTAAAGTATATGTTGTCAGGAAATGTGCGCGGCAAGTCTGTCTTCACAAGGTCCACAAGTTCCTTTTCAAACGGACCATCTAGTATTTTTTGGTACAGATCAGGGCATTGATCCTTCATTTGTTCTGCTTCTGATATTGCCATCCATACTGATGGACGATGTTCACCTGAACAAATTATTGTTGGTAATTAAAAATAAATTACTAAACAAATACCATGGTTTAAGACTCATGGTTACAATTAAAATACAATGAAATTTCCCTCTTTAAATAAATTCCGAAGGTTGTGTTATAGTCCAAAATTCATTGGAAATTCATTAGTAAAACTAAATAAGGAATAAAGAGTTTTGTTTTATTAAATGAAAGTTTAAAAATCAATATATATCATGCTAAATATACAAGATGGTAATCAAATGATTATTTATTAAATTCTTTAACTTAATAGAAATTAATTAGGTTTAATTTAAATGTAAAATTAAAAAAAAGGAAGACATTTTTAAATTCGTAATCGTGTTTTGTAGTTTTAAAGAGATCTCTATGTACTTACTAGGTATTCCTTTGCGAACATATCTTTTAACTGTATTTGTTCGTTTGACCGACTTTCCTTCGCCGAGTAAAGTAGCCCATTTTTGTGCGCGAGAGGCAAGGACCTTCAAGTAAACGGACATAAAGTGCTCATAACTCTCATAATCAAAGTCCTCATGTCGTTCAAAACCGTATTCATCTACAGTGCTAAAAATGAGAAATATTATATGTTTTGAAGAAATCGATAAGATATATGTCACAGTTATCACTTACCTGAAGGTAGATTGAGCCATTTTAATATGCTTTGATATTATTAATAAAATAATGTCATGTTTATTAATGTACAAATATGTTTACTTAAGATAAGTAACGCCCCCCAAGACTTATTATTCGTTCATGACAGAAATAAATAATTTTTAATATTGATAAATTTAACTTCAATGACCAATCAAAGAACACCAATTATTCATTGACATTTGTGACATTGACAATCGAATAGATAACTAAATAAAAAAAGAATTGTGTGTAGGTAACATATAATTATAGATTATAGTAGAAACTCTAGAACACAATATCACTGGTTTTTATTTTAAAAAGAAACACTGTCACCTCATAATTTAAATGTCAATGTCAAATAATGTCATTGTCATTTTCTGTGGTTATGTTATTGTCACGAAAAAGTTTATTTATTTGTTATTAATAACAAATTTACAGTAAATAAATAGTTAACGTGGAAAGTAAACTGATACATCTATTATATAATGGGGCCACCTCCAGTTGTCACTGGTATTTCACCAAAAGAAGGGCCTCCTGGCACGAGAGTGACGATACGGGGGGAGTTCCTAGGAATTAGTGTAACTGATTTAATTGGTAAGATTAAAATTTGTTGTTAAAAAGAAATTTGTTGTTAAATAAAATTACCGAGTTCTCTTTAAATATGTAATGTAACGAATGAATTCTCCAGGACTCAAGATATGCGGCTGTGATTGCTTGCTGTCAGCAGAATGGAAAAGCAAGAATAAAATAGTAGCACGATCTGGACCCTGCAAAGGTCGAGGTGATATTATAGTCACCACAAAATCTGGTGGCGAAGGCACTTCTACAGTACAGTTCAGGGGTTAGTATATTTATTTCTACAATTCATGCCATTCTGTCGCATGGTAGTAAGGTACAATCAATATTTTTTTACTTTGAACTTAGCACACAATATTTATTGTATAGGCTTTTGAAAGTGATAGAAAACTATGAGGCCTGATAACATTAACTTTCTTGTACTATTATGACTGTAAATACAGCATTTAAATTATTAACATAAATTAAGATCCAATTTGAACATTAATTGAAGTGAAATAATATTTTTGGAGAAGATATATAATAGTAGGCATTATTTGCAACCCAAGTTAGTGTACAAGAATATTTCATGGAAAATTAGTCTTGGAAACCACTGTAATTAAATATTAAAATTATCAGGATACCATGAATCAGTGGGGCCAATGAAAGAAAGTGCAGTCTGGGTGGAAGAAGCTGCACCTCCCTCTCTACCTTGGGGCCGTCGCCCCATGTCTCCTACAGCCTACACCCCGCCAGATCCTCTGGGCTTGTCTACTGAAGGTGATGACTGTAAGTTTCCTGAGGAAGAGTTACATGAATTATTCCCGGATGGGTAAGTATGTTCATGTAAGCATTTTATTTTCTTTTCTTCATTAAGTTATATTAGTATTGTACACTTGTTTTCAGGTCAGGAAAATTGTCAGATGAAAATTTCCAACCTGGCTGGTATCTTTTAGAACATCATAGCAACACTTCTTATGAAGACTTAAAAGCTGGTATGGTATTTCTGCAGAGAAAGGTAAGAATATTTTATTACTTTTAATTAATTGCATGCTATTCTATTTAAAAATCGAAAATCCATTATATGAAAGACCAAGCCTTGAAAACCACAATTATGAAAAATATTTGTTAAAAAGCATATTATATTATCTTACAGGTGGAGGGACAAAAAGAAGGTCAATTAAGTTTTCTTAAAGCCAATACTGGTGCTGTGATGGACCAGCTGGACCGGCTTGTGCTCCTGAAGAACATGTATGAAGAGGATCAAAGGAAGAACGGAAGAGAACCACTCCCAAGCTTGCAGTCGGCAATTGAAGGTAGTTATTTGATTTTAAATTCTTATTAAATAGTAATTAAAACACACATATTTATGAGGAAAATTCTATAATTATATTATTTTTTATTTATTATTAGTGTTTAATTCTTTTATATCAGATGGACAAAGTCATCACTGGCCATAGACATCTTTGTTAGCAGATGTATGACCTACATTTCATCAACATTAATTAGTGTTTTCTATACTGGAGAAAAATTAAGGAAAATTTGTACTATGACATTTTGAAATTCGTTTAGCTGATTTAAAAAAAATGTATTAGATTCTATTATTCAAACATATGTATTTAAATTCTTTCAGAATCAATCTCATTGGCTGACTCATTATTCTCGGAGATATTATCACGTAAAGAGAATGCAGATAAAACTCGGGAGGCGTTGTCTCTTCTAACCAGACATAAGTTCCTGTTCCAACTGCCTTCATCCATAGACAAGAATATTAAAAAGAAAGAATATGATTTAGTTGTCAATGATTATACAAGAGCTAAAAATCTGTTTGGAAATACTGATGTTAAGGTATTATTTACCAATAATTAAATACATGTTTAATATTATTGTAATAAGTTTTTGTTTAAGGAAATATGTTTTAGATGTCCATTTGTAAGGAGACTATATTACTGACTTACACTAGTGCTATTTCATATCCTTAATTTTTTTATTGTTACAGTTGTTCCAAAAAATATTATCAGAGATAGATAAAAAGATTGAAGATTTGAAAGAAAATTTGTACAACAGGATGAAGACAATGCCAATAAATGTTCAAGAGCAGACAAAATATATCAGGTATTATATCATGAGAAATTTAACAATTCAACATTTAGGACTTATTTTATCTGTTTGTTTTCTGATTTTCAGATTACTGATTAGTTTGAACTGGGATGGTGACGCAGCTTGGACAGCAATACTCAGCCGAAAGGATTATCTCATGAACTTAATGAATAAAGTAAAGGAACACTTCAAAAAGAAAGAGGAGCAGGAGTCCAATGAGAAAGGTAATGTTGCATATTAACATGTTCCATTAAGCCCGCTGAGTACGCTCGGTTTAAACATACTGCACATTCGCATGCATAATTCAGTTAGTTTAACTGTCAGTTAAACTGTACAGCAATCAACAACTAATTTAGAACAGCTTAACTCTCCTGTCATCATCCGGTAACCGCACCTGAAATTTTGAAAATGTGTCACAAACATTTAAGCAATTTCATTAAATGTAATTATTTAAAAATTATTGTTTTACCTATACTCCTGCTTATAATTTATTTCGACATTTCAGTTAAAACTGTCATTGGTCGTATCAAGTGTGGCTTGTTAAATATGTGTTTAATATATTAAGAGGCGTTAGTGTGTTGTATGTGTGGCAGGTCGGCGCAAGGCGCGCGAGAGCGAGTGCGAGTGTCTGTGGAGCGCGACGCGCGCGGCGTGGTGCGGCGCGGCGTGCGGCGCGCTCGCCTCCGAGCTGCACGCGCTGTGGCCGCTCGCTCGACGGTACTTCGCTGGCGAGCTGGCCGGACAGCCAACGCTGCCCCAGCGGCACACGGACCTCAAGGTTAATACATTATTTTGGTGTGCGTGTAATACTGTGTTTTTTTATATCATAAGGTGCCAAACGAGCAAGCGATCACCTGAATCCGACAATTTGACGAAGCGACCGCTGCCCATAGACATTCGCAATAGCGAATGCGTGGCCTTCCCTTAAGTGACGGAGGAGACGAACATAAGAGGATGTTTTCCCTTCATATGCGCCTCCTGTACCGTCTAATCCAGGTTCCTTTCCCATCCTTTACTTATAAGAAAGAGGGGGAAGGAAAAGGGACTAAAGTCGCGCCCGTCTTCTGTGTGGTCGTGGTATTGCACCGGGCGACCCGACCCATTCGTGATAAGTAGTTAAAGCGGGCTTTACCACAGTTTTTTAAGTTTGGTAAAGAAAAGAAAATTCACACAATTGTTAATAATTTCAGGAGATGATAATAGCGATGGTGGAATCGTTTTCGGAGCAGATGCGCGGCTGCCTGATATGCACGAGTGGTGGCGGGGGCGGGGGCGCGGCCGTGGCTGCGGATGTGCTGCGCGCGCGCCTGCTCGCCAACCTGCGCCACTTGCGAGACGCTTACGATTCACTATTGAAACTAGACTTGCCCTCGCAGGTAATATATTATGTTCTCCGCTGTGAAATCTTGTGAACAGTGTTTTTATAGTTCTTTTATTTCATTTTGGAATACAGAGGCCTAAACGGCCGTTCAAAAATTGCCATAGCGGTCGGTATTTCACGACCACAAGGCGGGGTATTGGTAAAGTTTTCAACTAGCAATAATCGCACCTCGGATTAACCTCATTGGTTACGATATTGCCTCTGCGCAAAGTTAATTGTAAATTTTCTTAGCGAATGTGGTGATTCTTTTGAAAGAACAAGCTATAGTGTAATATTAATCCGGTGTGTGGCGCCATCTTGCGAAAGACGTTTTAAACTATTCTATGTACTATTGTAAATCGGCATATTTATGTTAAGTTAGGCTATATGGCGCTACTAACAGTTGGAAAAAATGTGAATCGTGATTGTGAAATATTTTAAAATCGAATAAGACCTTTGGATGAGTTTAATTCGGTATCGCTTCTCGGCCTTTTGGCTAAGATCAAAGTGTAGTATCTGTTCTTTTCAGCTTAATATCTGAAAGTTCCCGCACTGCGGGACCAGTATATTAAACTGATTTTTGTAAAACGACGGGATGTTCGGGGCTCGCTCCACTCCCGTCACGGGTCGGCCCGGCATTGCAGTGCCGCCGGGATCGGCCCACATATTACTCTGAAAATTAGTTATAGGGTATGAGACTCTAGTGATTTTTATTGACTCGAGACTATCGAAACGGAATATGTAACTTGAATAACCGAAATATTAACTAATTTAACATAGAATGTCATTTTCGCATTAATGTAAAAGACACTCAAAAATTCTAAGCAAATTGTATAAAACAATAAAGTTTTCGTTTAAATTAAACTTTTTCTACATAATCAAGAAACCTCTTATATCAATTATCAGTTGAATGAAAATATTATAATGTACTACTAATAACTTCTAATCTAATTTAATTTATTCTAACAATTTTCATGACATCCAAATATGAACAGATTCTTACATAATTTAGATAATAATAAACATGCTTAAAATTAACTTAAATTAACTCAATAAAAGAATATAAATAATGTATTTTTAAAAAGATAACGAATTTATCTGAAATTGCTGTAAGAATTTCTTACTCGGCACGGTATAAACCACTCGAGCGGTTACGAGTTATTGGTAATTCGAGTCAACTCAAGTTGTCAAAAATTTCACTCGTGTCCGAGTAAAGTAATATAAAAATTACTCGAGCTATTCTAGTGAAAAGCAACGAAGCAAAAAAGACGCTAAGTATACACTTAGCCACTGTCGTCTCTATAAAGAAAACTAATAGGCTATGGTAATATTTTGCTATTTGGGTTTTGCGATTTTTGCAGTTGTGTTGAGAAATGTACCTCATAAACGTAGAATTATGTCGGCCAATAAGTTTTTTTTTGCAAAATCATATTACTTTTATATATTTTTTTTTCCAGCCGCTGAGTATCGTGGAAA